AATTAAGAAATTAAGGTGAATTCAATTAAACTACGAATTTTTTTATTTCCCTTTTTTGAAACCTGTGTCCTTTTTTTTCTTTTCCCAGAGCACCCCTTTTTAGTCTGATCCATTCTAGGACACCATCTGCAGCTTGCTTTGTTTTTCATGACCTTGTCACTTTTGAAGCGATTTCTTACTGTCTCTCACCTGCATATGGTACGTGCTACATCCAGATAGCACCTCCAGGTGGCATATGGAAATGCGGTGTGTCTTGGGGGCATGCCTATCTGTAGATGCCTTGGCATTGAGCCAGTGGAGAGGAGCGATAATCAACGCAGTGCTGAGCTCAAGAGAGCCGCACATCAGGAGGAGTTTCCCCCTCAAAATGTCAACGGCACCCTCACTGACACACAAAGGTCCCAGTCCCTTTCCAGTAAGTGATGCAGAGTGAAATGCCTTGTCTCAAGTCTAGCAAAGGGCAGGTAGTAAACTTCAAAATAAAAGCTTGATGTATTGAATTTCGGCCCAGGACCTTTGCTATGTAACAGTTACTGTCTCCATTGGAAATGTTGGCTTTAACGAGTATAGGAACAATTTTAATGATTTGGAAATTTTTATTTCTACGTAGATAACAGCTTTTCCTTTTATTTGCTGAGGTGCTGTGTTTAGCCAGAGTTGCACCTGGTGAAAACTCTGAATGAAGAATTGGAATTCGTGGGAAGGGACAGTGGAGTTTCCTGGTGATGGGGACAGAGGAAGCGCTTGTGGCCCCAGTGTGTGGATGGAGTCGTGTGCATGCCTTCTCCTGCCTTGTTTCTCTTCATAGCACGACTCTTTGCTACTGCATGGACTGTAGTCTGCCAGGCTCCTCTGTCCATGAAATTCTCCAGGCAAGAAACCTGGAGTGGGTTGCCATACCTTCCTCCAGGGGATCTTCCCAATTCAGGGATTGAACCCAGGTCCCCTGCATTGCAGGTGGATTCTTTACCGTCTAGCAACCAGAGAAGCCCAGGAATTCTGATGTGGGTAGCCCATCCCTTCTGGGGATCTTCCCGACCCAGGAATCGAACTGGGGTCTCCTGTTAATAAGGCCCCAAACATGAGTCATTCGCACCCCAAGCATTCTACAAGTTGGGGGATATGTTATTGGCCAGCACACACCGTTTCATTTTGTTCAGCTGTGTCTTTGAAAAAGGCATGAGTTGGGAGACCAGGCCTGACAGTTCTGCCGGTAGAGGTCACTGTCCCTCAGTGAGTCTCCACCAGTGTCATCCTGCACCCCCGCCCCGCCCCGCCCCGCCCCGCCCCGCCGGCAGTATCGGGCAGTGACTGCAGACAGCTCTGATTTTCACCAAGTAGGTTATGTGCTGTCACCTAGAGGAGAGGCACCAGAGAGTGAGTGGAAGTCGCTCAGTCGTGTCCGACTCTTTGCGACCGCATGGACTGTAGCCTGCCAGGCTCCTCTGTCCATGAAATTCTCCAGGCCAGAATACTGGAGTGGGTAGCCGTTCCTTTCTCCAGCACGTCTTTCAAACCCAGGAATCGAACCCAGGTCTCCCGCATTGCAGGCAGATTCTTTACCAACTGAGCCACCAGGAAAACCCAGAGGGGAGATACCAGGGTTTCTGCTAAAACCCTATGATGCCGAGGTCTGCACCCCACAGAGAATTGTCTGGCCCCAACAGAACCAAGGTGGAGAAAACACACTGTGGATAAAATCCTAATATTTGAAAGGAAGACACGACAATCCTCATAGTAATAATGAAACTTTATTATTATTTAAAAGAAGAACAACCTTTAACCTCTATAAAGGTTATAGAGGGGAAGCACACCTTCCTGAGAAGGGTCTTCTTGGGGGAAAAGGCAGCAAGGAGTGAAGGCTGGGAATTAGCGGTGCCCCCTCAGTGTGGGCTCTGCAGGGTGGAGGGGTGGCTTGGCGCTGCGCTGATGTGCTGGCTGGGGTGGAGGGAGGTGGCTTGGCGGTATATGTGACTCAGGCAGGGGTGGGGCAGGGCTCTCAGCTGGGTAAAAAGAACTGTGGGTGGGAGTTTCATGGGGAGGTGGTGGCCGGGCCCTGGCTCTCTGGACGCGAGGGGGACATCAGGCTGCAGGAGGCCCAGGACAGAGTGCCGGTCTGCTCCTATCTCTGCAGGGAGGCTCTGTGACTCTGCCCTGGAGGTTGGGGGTGGCGGATGGGGAGAGCTGGGGGTGGGGGGTGCTGGCCTTGGAGCAGGGTGAGCTGCAGACGGAATGCTCAGGCAAGGCGGGAGGTCTGGCCGCTGCTCAATGTCCTTCTCCGACGCTGTTGCACCCATGGTAGAAGCTGCTCCTCAGAGGCCCCGGTTTGGGCACAAAGGCAGGGACCAGTCCATTCCTCCACACGGGCTGGAAGGCAGACAGCCTGGGCTCCGGACTCTGCCTCCTTCTCTTGGTCTCTGGACTGTCAAACAATTGAGGCTCGTCAAAGCTCCTTTTACCTTTCTGGCATCTACTGAGCGGCCTCAGTCCGGTCTCATTGGCACAGAGATCCGGTTGCTCCGGTCTGGGCACACACAAGTAGATGCTGCCCGTGCGCTCAGGGAGGGTGATCTGGATGGTCACCTGTCTCCGTCTGCTACGGTGTTGGCGGCCGTTGCACTGGCGAGTCTTCCTGGAAGTCTTATGATGGCGGGAAAAGCGCAGCCCCGTGAAGTGATGTTGGAGCAGCCTGCTGGGAAAGCGCCTGCGGGCCAGCCTGCGGTACAAGGCGGGCGAGTCGTTCCGTTGCCGTCTGCTGCGGGCCCGGTGAGCGCGGCGGACCGACTGGACGTGGCCTGGGTCCTGGCCCGGCGGGAGGCGGGAGGGCCCGGGCCGTGAGATGCAGGGCTGCACGGCCTTGGCTGTGCCCAGCCACCAGCCCAGGTACCTGCTCAGGAAGCTGCCCATGCTGGCCGGGTGGCGGGTCAGATCTTCGCGCTGCTTTGGCTTCTAGGCGACCGAGGTCAGCAGACGTGAAGCGCAGGAGTCTCAGGCGACCGTTGGCATCCGGCTACAGGCTGGCGCGTGTGGCGTTGGCACCTCAGGGTTCTCTGGGCTCAGGGTCCTGCGCACCCTAGGACTGTGCCCCCGGACGCAGGACCTCAGTGGCTGCCCCTGCCCTCTGAGCAGAGTGGTCCCTCCAAGCTTCCGCTGCAGGCTCTGGATCTTGGCTCTGAGCAGATCAGCCTAGGAGTGCCTGAAATCCTTGCATTTTATATTTGAAGGGACAAAAATGAAACAGTGTACACGTTTTTGTGTTCTTGTCTTTTGAAGTAAAAGAGTGACTGAAAAGATGATTGGGCAATGTGAAGATATAGAAGCAAAGAATAGCTCTTGGGCTAGGGAACTGGTAACAGTTTAGACTGTAATTCGGCTACATAGCAGAATCAGTTGACTCCCAGTTCCCTGAAAGATACAGATAAAGGCCTGAAACACATTACTAAACTGTTTTTACAGGAGGGTGACTCCCCACCCCTCAGGGCTTTCGGGGTGTCTTCGTGGTAAAAAAAAATCTGCCTTCCAATACAGGAGATGCAGGAAAGCCAGGTTGGATCCCTGCATTGGGCAGGCCCCCTGCAGAGGGAATGGCAAACTGCTCCTGTATTCTTTCTTGCCTGGGAAATCCAATGGACAGAGCAACCTGGTGCGCTGCAGTCCATGGGATCCCAGAATCAGACAGGACTGAATGACTGAGCTGGCAAGAGCACAACTCCCTCCATTTGAAGAATACTGCTGACTACAAGGATGTACATCCTAGACTGGTTGAAACTTGAAAATTGATGATGCTTGAAACTTCACCTCGATGCCACCAATCCAAGAATTGTTCATGAGGTGATCATGCCCTGCTCCTTGAACACTATAAAACTCCTCACTACCCCCGCCAGAGTGGGTCACACAATCTTGAGGGCATTAGCCCACTGTGGCCCCCTCTGCCTGGCAAATCAGTAAAAGCTATTCTTTTATACTTCACCCAAAACTCTCTCTGTGTTTCTGTTCAGCACGGTTGAACAGAGACAAACTTTGGCAAAAAAAATATAATGTGTACCAGGTCTTGAAAACTACAGAAAATTGACAGAAGTACATTCTCTTTCATTATGTAAAGAAGAACACAATGCACTTGAATGCTCTTTTAAGGAAAAAGAGTAGATTTCCGTGTATCCATAGAGTCTGTGTGTTTCTTCTAGAATGGTTGCTAATGTCACTTTTGGAAATTTTATTCTTAAGGACTGTAGAAAGTCATTGAGGATTCATTTTTTAACCCTGACAATGTTGGTTTAGTGTGGACTCTCCTGTAATTTTCTACCTTCATACATTTCATGCACTCATATATAGACTGTCTCTAAACACTAACGCCATTTCTTTCTTGTGAAAGAAGAAATGATCAAGAAATACAGGGTAGCGTGAGGCACATTTCCAGTTTACACTTGAAAGCTGATACCTTCAAAAGCAGTATTCAAAGCCTCTTGCAAACATTAGAGCCCCTCTGTCCAAAAGTCTGTTATTGGGCCGACCCCAATACTGGAGTAAGAGAAGGGCAGAGACAGTGGCCAACAGAGGCAGCAAGTAGCGGATCAGCAGATTTGTCTGGTTCTGAGAGGTAGAAGGCTGAATGAGGGGGACACTAGAAAGATCTTGATGAGGAAACAGAAAAGACTTCAGTATCAGGGAGGCCAGGCCAAGTGTTGAGGAAACGGATGCTGTCAGCTAATAGGTGATGGAGGTTGCAATTCCTGCTGCCTTCCACTGAGTCATTCCTTTTGTTTTTGGGTTTGTTTTACTCTTGGTAAATTTCTTATTTAAGAATGATCCCCAAGCCTATGATTTGGAAATAAAGGAAATTTCCTATATTATTGTTAACAAGACATGTCTTCATAATAGTAGAAATGAGTTAATTCATAGCTAAGACACCTCTTAAGATGGTCATAACACTGAAGTGGAATTACAATGCAATTTGGTATTTTTTGCTTATGATGTATTTTTTTTCTTCTCATCATCTGCAGAATTTCCCATGTTCTACTTTGCAATGTAACCCAGCGGGTGTCGTTCTGGTTTGTGGTTACTGATCCTTCAAGAAATCACACCCTTCCTGCCGTTGAGGTACAGTCAGCCATCAGGTAATCACTGCTAAGTATGCCTTCTCAGAGTAAATCAACTTGTTGATTAATTCAGTGGTTTTCGTAGACTTTGAAGACTTTTCTCTCTGCTTCACAATGATTTGTTTATTAAGATGTCAGTGATTTTGCTGTGGTGGGCCAGAGGCCACCAGCATGGATTGGGCAGAGGTTCGGGATGCTAGTTAACATTCTCCAGTGTCCAGGACAGCACTTCCCAGCAAAGAATAGTTCAACCCCAAGTGTCAGTCGTGCTGTGGTTGAGAAGCTCTGCTTTATACATTAGCTAAGAAGGTTTCATTCTGTCTTCTTTTGGCAAGAACACCTTGTAAAACACTATTGTGTGATGGTTCATCACATGCATTGTTGAGCCTGAATGCTCAGGTTTTAAATAGTCGTTTTGCCTCTTGATAGCTATTAGAATACAGAGAAATTACTTCCCCTCTTTTTGCTTTCTTCTTATCATCTATAAAACAGAACTAATTATGGTACACTCCTCTCGGAATTGTTGAGTAGATTAAATGCAAAGCATTTCGAGGGGCAAGTAATACCTTTGACTTTTATTTAGAAGTCAAGAAAACTATTCATGTTTCTTGGGTGTCCAAGGACTTACCTTCTTGAGTTAATGTAGAGGCCTTATCTTTAAAGCATACTTTTTGGCGGAAAAAAGGTAGTATCTTGACTCTTACATAAATGGAAAATAAATTCTCAAAGAATTTTGGGCTTTCTTGGTGGCTCAGGTGGTAAATAATCCACCTGCAATGCGAGAAACCTGGGTTCGATCCCTGGGTTGGGAAAATCCCTTGGAGAAGGGAACAGCTACCCACTCCAGTATTCCGGCTTGCAGAATTCCATGGACTGTATCCATGGTGTCACAAAGAGTCGACACCGCAGAGTGACTTTCACTTTCACTTTCATCAAAGATTTTATTATCAAGTTAATGAGGAAATGACTAAGATGTTAAAACCGTTTTAATGGAGACTTTAAGGCAGCACGCAAATATAGGAATTGAAGATTTGTGGTGTTTATTTACTAAAAGATACGCCAGTCTATCCATCGGCAATGCTCCACCAGACACAATTCACCTGATTCTCTGTGGACAAGAATCATTTACATTATATTAGTTTTCTCGAACTTACAGATTTGAAAATTAATTCAAAGACAGTAAAAGGTGGAAATTGTTCAGAAGGGTAGACTTGCCAGACACTCAATCATATTTTTCACCCATTTGAAGTTTTACCCATTTTTTTTCTGACAGTTCCCCTCTTCCTCTCCTTGGGATTAGAATAAACTTTCAACAGTGAAATATATTCCTTTCTGCACAGAAGCAGAGTATGCAGTTTTTATTTCAATTAGCATGCAATTTATGTGTGTCAAAACTTCAAATCCCACACATAATTGGTGTTGGGCAAATTGATTTAGAAATCAAGAAAAATATACACATTCTTCGGTTTCTAAGGATTTACCTTCTTGAGTTAATGTACAGTCCTTACCTTTAAAACATAGTTTTTGAGGAAAAAATGTAAAACCTTGTCTCTCATATAAATGAAAAATAAATATTATCAAATACTTTGGGCTTCCTTTGTGGCTCAGCTGGAAGAATGAGTTCCCCAAATAATCTTGACCCTGAGAAAGAAAGATTGAAACAAAGTTCACTTTCCTTACAAAGGGATTTACAGGTTATTGAAATGCACATTTTTCTCATTATATCTAGGGAAAGAACTTACTTGCTCTTCGTAAAATGTTAGCATTTAAGGCAGTATGTCTATAATCAAATGCCAATTGTTTTTGTGCGAACAAACATCTGTTTCCCTTGCTGAAGTGAAGGCACTGAGGCTCTGTACCAATGGAAAATGGTTTAAGAAGAAGGTTTGAATTAAATTGTTTTTGCACTTTTGCCACTAAGAATACTGCTGAGAGCCACTACTTAGGGAGTAAAAATTAGGAATATTGTATTTTGTGAGACAAGGGATTTTATTCAAGCCCGGTGATCAGGGAGGACTCCAAGGAAAATGAGGGCACTGTGCTTAAACCAGGCTTCAGTTATTGTGAGGAGGAGTGAGTGCTTAGGCTGAAGGTCGAGGATGGAGATGAATATGTTCACAACAAAATGTCTGTTTCAAAGGCCCCAATAGGAAGGGCTGTCTAGGAGATGATGGCCAGTAGAATGGGAAATTATATCAGGGTATGGATAGGGCTCATCAGGAGTGTATGAAATTAAAGGAAACAATACCAGGAGGGCAGGACAGAGTGAAAAGAAAGGAGATGGTACCTAGAAGGCAGTTAATATGTCATTGGGCAAAATAATACTAGTTCTACCTAATGCTTGCTTAATATTTTCTGGTTCACGAGCCATAATCTGATGCATCTTTGGCATTTAGTGTCAACACCAGTCATTTCTGAGTTGTTATTATTATCCCTGCCTTATAAATGAGAAAATTGAGGCTCAGGGAGATTGTTTGATTTTCCCAGGTCACCATGTGAGAGAAATAAAGAATGACGATTTGAATGCAGGCACAGTGCCTTTGCATCCAGTGATTTGTTTTTCCCCTACTTACTAGAGTATCCACACCTATGGAATTAGGTGAGGGGATGAAAGATCAGTTCTAAGATGTCTGTTTTTGATCTGTTTTGAGGACCTGGCCTTATTCAAGGCCAATTTGACTAGAAAGTATCCATGGTGATTGACGCCTATTGGGGATTTCAGTGGAGATATACTTTGTATTGAACTAGAACTTCTGATCAGCCTGACTGCTGAGCAACAAAGTAGACAGAATGGGAACGCAGAGCAACTTTTCATTTTACTGTTATCTCTTGGTAGGGGGGCTCATCATTTTGTGGAAAGTTTTGTGTTATCAAAATTAGGTTACAAAAAAAGAAATCATCCCATTGTTTGATAAAAATTGCATTGAAATCATCCTGTGCTGCAGATTAGCTGGCTAGGATTCTCCTTCACACGAGTAATCATGCCTCCTTGTAGATTTTCAATTGCAACGGGTGGTCTTTCCTGACACCCTGGTACTGGTCTGCAGAGATTCTGAAGCTATTACTCTCAGGTTCAAGATGTGCACTGTCCAGTACAGAACTCAGCAGCCACACGTGGCTCTCAAGAACTCGACATGTATCTAATCCAAGATGAGATATGCTCTGTCAGGTACACACCGAATTTCAAGGACTCTGCCCAGAATAAAATGTGAACCAACTTACTGTTGATTCCATGTTAAAATTATATTTTCTTGGATATATTGAGCAAATATATGTTATATTAAAATCAGTTTTGCCTATTACTATTTTTTAAATGCAGCTGCTAGAAAATTTGACATCACCTAAGGTTCACATATCCTGGCTTACAGTTCTGCTCTAGAGGTTGTTGAAATCAGCTCGTCTAGTGTAAAGTCAGAAAAGGCCATACAGTACCTCCAAGAAATCACATCTAATTTGCAAATTCCAGCTAGAAATTTAGTTTTGGTCAAATAAGTTTTTGCTACCAACCCCTCCCTGACTGCTACCACCACCCAAAATGCAGATTTTCCCCAGGGAGCGTAATAGATTTACCTTCGTGTTTTTCTAAACGTTTGGACTCCTAAAGCACCGTTTACTTTAGTCATATGGAACTACTTGCAGTTGACGAAACAATTCATACTGTATATATCCTGTCTCCAATTCCTGTGTTCACTACAGGTCTGAAGTGAGTACTCTGGGTCTGAAGTATTCCTACTTGTCCCTCCAAACACAGCTCAAAACTTGTCTTCCCAGGAAACCAGCTCTGACTTCTTACTATGATGACACCTCTGCTGTATTCTCACTGGGCCAATTTTTACCTCTTTCATAGAACTTTTTGTACTGCACTGTGATTTTGGAGGGACTGATGGGCTGTTGTTCTAGACTGTAAGCTACTTAGGTTTTTTTTTTTTTTTTTTTTTTACCGTTTGTATCTCTAGCACCTAGCAGAGGATCTGGTACTTAGTAAGTTTTCAGCAACTGTTTGTTGAATTGAATGGAAAAAAAGATAAAGTTGATGGATTTGCCGCTCCTCCTGGCTTCATGCTTTCTGTCTGCTCTTGATTTTCTTTTATTCTTAAGTTTATCACCCACTTTTTACATATTAGTTTGTGTTTTCAGGCTGTAAGCCACTTAAATAGAGTTCCGTCACTTTAATCTAGTTGCTGCCTCTCAGGGAATAAAATGTGGTGGGCAGAGCTCAAAAGTCAGGACTTCCTGTGACTTCTGGAACATTCATGACAATGGAGGGCAGTAGTGCATAGACAGGCACCTCTCTGGCAGCCAGCACCACCACTTACGAACAGAAAACCACAGCATGATGGCCCTCATCACAGTCGGCTCGACCTGAAGTCTTCTGCTGGGAGATGCTCTGTTTATAGAGAGGGTGGTAATCCCGGGGACACAGGGCTCTACCTTTGGTTTCTAATGTTTCTTCTCTCTTGTTTGTGTTTAATCATCCTTGTATTGTATTTTATTTTTATTTTTTCATCCTTGTATTTTAGAATGAATCGAAACCGGATCAACAATGCCTTCTTTTTGAATGACCAGACTCTGGAATTTTTAAGAATTCCTTCCACTCTTGCACCACCTACTGACCCGTCTGTGCCCATCTGGATTATTATATTTGGTGTGATATTCTGCATCGTCCTTGTGGCGACCATGCTATTGATTTTATCAGGAATCCGGCAACATAGAAGGTGAGATATTTATAAAGGGAGAGATTGAAAGAGCATTTTCCTATTTCCCATGACTTGGAAAAATAAGGAGAGGATTTTCCCCTACCTGAAGCGAATCCCTTATATTGTAAACTGAAAAAATGGGCAGTTTTCAAAATACCAGTTATGCTTTTGTTTTTGGACACTTTTTGGAGTCCAGAGTCCCTTACTTAACTATGACTACTTCTAGCACCATCTTTCTTTCTTTTCTACACCATGTGAATGTTTCATATCTAGAGTTGTTTTTAATATCTGGGGTATGATCTTTTACACTGGATATACAGAGCTTAGCAGGCTTTTCGGATAGGCAGAGTTAATCTTTGGTTTTCACCCTCCTCCAAATACTAGTTCTTCCACCATTGTTTTCCTGCCCTCCTTGGCCTGCCTCTTCCAGTACCTACAGCCTCCACCTTGTACCGGATACTTTTGTGATGTCTTTACATTCTCTCCCTTTGGACGCTCTTCCCTCGAGTCCTGTGATCTTATATAGACCCATGTTCTTCACAGTGGCCTTTGAATCATCTCCCTGTATCAGAGTCACCTGGAACACTTGTTGAACATACAGGTTCCTTTGCTCTGCAACAGAGCCACGAAAGTTCATTCTCTGAAGGAGATGCATTCTTTTAATTGAAACTTAGTTGATGTACAATTGAAAGAGGTATGTCTCAATGAATATCCAGCTAATTCACTTTTTTGAGGGCTTCCAATTTAACTACTTACGTTTCGATTACCACTCATGGAGTTCATTTAGCTGAATTCTGGGGCACGTGCAAGCTTTGCTATCTAAATTATTGACATTACTTTCAGAGAGAATTTCAGACTGGTGAAAGTGTTCCTAAGGTAGGGAGGAAACAAAGCTTTCACAATGAAAGGAGAAAATAATCTTGTTTACAAGCACCTCTGATTCAGAGTGCAGGTGGAGAGAGTCCTGAGCTCTACTTTGATGCTTCTAAACCTTCCCTTCTGACACCAAGGAAGAGGAATCCTGTTAAGTGGGCATCACAGGGACACAGATTGGTTTTCAAAAGCGTTGGTGCCCACGTGGGACATGCAGGTTGTGTTTGGCCAAGTTTGTGTTCGAGTAAATGTTTCTGCTGAGATTTTCCACTTTCCGTATGGTTCACGCTGGTTATTAGCAGAAGGTAATCATTTTAAATTTGTGGCTTTGCAATTTTTTTTCACAAATGATCAGTGAAATGCTATGGAGTGAATGTGATCTATGTCTAGTCCCTGAATTAAACTTAAGGATTAAGATCAAGTTGTAATTGCTTGATTTTCTTGCTTTTGCCATGACATGTAGTGCTGAGAGACTTGATCCAAATTATTAATTTGTTTTTGTTTGCTTTCTAGAATATTAAGAAATATTCTGTTGTGGTATTTGCATGCCTGTGTTCAATAGCTTTAAGTTTTATATTAATCCTGAAATGCTGGGAGTCCGTGCTTTCTAGCAGTTGTAACCTTCATGAATTCACTTCATCCCCTTATTTCCCAATTTCCTCACTAGTATGCTCTGGTGTAGGTGGTGGAAGAGTGGGCTTTGGAGTTGGACTACTTGGATTCACAGTATTTATTGGCTAGACTCTGCTCTTGGATGTAATGCATTAACTGTATGGCTTTCAGGAGGCACAGGCAATGAGTCAGGGAAGCCAAGCTGAAGAGAACATGGTTTGTGGTGCTGGGGTCAAGTTGGTTAAATGTTTCTTTACTATCTGTGCATAGATAACTTTGCTGGAGGGACAGTGAGGTGTATTAAAAAGAATTAATTTGTTGGAATCAAAAGTTAATAGCGTAGCATTCTCGAAGGAGCGCCTGGCACACAGCAAGTGCTCAGGAAGTGTTAGCTCTTAGTGTTATTTTATTATCCTGCTGTTGCTGGTCTTTCAGTTCGTTTGTACTGGGATCAGCTATCTTCCTTCTGAGCAGACTCTCCAGTAATACAATAATTGGGCGTGTAGCATTATAATCTGTTGCTTGGGACAAGTGACCCTGTTGCTCCAACCTTGCCTTCACAAATTTAGTTCATGTTCAAACCGGGAAAACAGATGGACAAATCTCCTGTGTCAACCTGGAGAGCATCAATAATTAGCAAATAGAGACAGGACAGTCATGATAACCTTCTGAAGAGAAATTGATTTGTTAGGTTTTCCACTTGGTATGGAAAAATTTTGCTGGGTTTCTTTTGGGAAAAGTATTGCTTCAAAAGTGGGGAGAGGGTGCAGTTTGAAGTGGGAGGAGCTCTGATCTTTGTGATGAAAGTTTTGTCTATTTGTCAAAAAGATAGAAGTTGCCCTCAAAAGTCTTTAGTGTTGAGGAGGACACAGATTTGTTTAAGAATGCAACCCACAGGTTAGATAGTAATGAACATAGCTTGTGTGATAGAACATCTTAAACCTAGATCAGGAGGGACCCCAGGGTCATCTGAATCACCCTTCTACTTCTACAGAGAAGAGTGCCAGTGTCATCTAAGACATGTGCATTTCTTAAGTTACCTTTGGGAAAATTCTCAAGTGAAGCTTTAACTCTTCTGTTAGCCGTGTCAATAACAGCATTCCATTGATTGTTCAGAACCTCTGGGTGGAAAGTGTGCAGTCACTGTGGCCCAAACTAGGTGAACTCAAATACTAGCTATACCTGTTATCTGAGTGAGGTTTGTTGCATCATCAAATTTCTCCATCTGTACGAGGGAGGTAATGTCTCACAGGGCTTCCATGAAGACTGGGTGAGAGAAATGTGTATAAAGTATAATATGTACTAAATGAATGGTAATTATGATCCAAGATGAGCTTAACCCATTTCTGTGATTCAAGAATGCTAGAAAAGATCACTTTTCCATCCAGATATTGCCACAGTACTGCAGAAGCTTCTCCAATTCATTGGCCTATTGCTTGAGATTTTATTAGTTAACAAACACCTATTTTAGAAAGCAAGAGGTCTTGTTAGGTCAGCTGTTTACTGTGATAGTGGTGAACTGACTAATCAGCCTTCTCTCTTAAAAAAAAACAATACCCTGTTTCGTAGCATTCGCTGATTTCCTATGCACTCTGAAATTTCTGAATATTTAACAGTCTCCTCTTGCAAGCCTGAACCAGCAGGTTTCAGCATGTCATCACAACTGCTGCCTCTTCGGGAAGTAAATTTGAGGAGATTGCTTCCTTTCTCTATTACCATCTAGTTGAGAATAGCAGTGTGTGAAATAAGAGGTTTGTGGAAGGAAAAGAGTTAGAAAAGTCATTTTTTTTCTTTTAGAGAACGATTAGGAAGTTGGGTAGGTGGAAAGGCAACTAAGACAAACTGCATATACTTGACAATGACATCTGTGCTAGATCTGTTTAGCCCCAGGCTGGAAGTGGATAGTTTAGCTCTTTGGTCAGCTTTATGATAATGGTGACGATGATGGTGGGGACAGTGATGGTGATGGTAGTGATGGCTTTAATGGTGGCAATGATGTGATAATGGTAATGATGATGAAGTTGATGATGTGATGTGTGTTTTAGTTGAAAGACCACTGGATCGATACTCTTGGTTTGGGGTCCCAGTCTTAGGCCCTAGCATTTATTAATTAGCCGAGTGCCTTGATGCAGTCACATACAGAAAATGAGGATAGTATTTTCTTAAATAGTTATGCTGATGGGAAGACAAAATTAGAGAATACACACAAGTGCTTTAGACACTGGGGAATGCTATATCAATGTAAAGAAGCATCACCATCAAAAAGCAGTTACAAAGTGCTAATTCTATGCAACCTGGCATTTTGTGCTATAAAAGGAAAGTCACAGACACAGCACAATTTCAGACTTGTATCTATATAGTAGAATTGATCCATGAACCTTTTATATAAATGGACTGTTGTAATGTTGTTATCTTAGGAAGGGACCTTAAACAATGATCTGTATCCATTTCTCCAGATGCCAAGGCCCAGAGAAGTAAAAATATCTTATTCCATTCCTTTATTTACCATGCGTTGTGTGATAGGACCTCTGGAATATATTGTGGAAGAGATGTACCGAGATAACATGGGTGGCCCTTGTCTGTAAGGAGATGATAATCTTGTAGTTGTAACAAAGCCAGGTCAAGGACTCAGGACATTGATCCCTAGCTAATGGTCACAGTTGACTAGAGTCACTAGTAAATTCACTTGATTTCCTTCTGGTTTTATTTCTCTTCCCATAAGGTCACTAGTAAAGAAAAATGCATTTGTGTTTGTATGAATTTTTTCACACAAGGGGCTGGGGCTCAGCCAATGTTTTCACATTACTGAAACTTCATGTTCTTATAAAGTCTCAATCAAATGAATGAACTGTCTTGAGAATAGAAATGTAAGTGAACTGAGAAATGTTAGAGCTGATAATTCTTTTACTTTGCTGATATTAAATGTACACACTCATTAGGAATCAAATATATGTTTTGAGCGATGTCTGGGAAGGTGAAGTGAGTTCCAGGTCCACTCCTTTCAGCAGTCTTGTCCCATTCTGAAAGACAAGTTGCTCTCCATGTTTGAGTCTCAGTTCTTTCTTTCAAAAACAGATGATAATAAAATCTGCACAGTATTGCAGTAGAAATTACATAAGATGATGTATACAAAGCAGTCTTCTGTATAATAGACACTAATTCTTATTGTTTCTGCTATCACATGGCAGATAAAAAGAGACCTGGCTACACACATATTGTTAGAATGTAACTGTACTAGTAGTTAAACCAGATGTCCTTGGTGCCAAAGCCCACCAGTCTCACTATGCTGCAACGCCCACTAAAATTGTTCTAGCAACGCTGCAGTTTCCAAGGGCTCTTCTACACTGATTAGATGACAGTTGCAATTCCCCAATCATTAACTCTGGCCCGTTTTGAAATCACATTTGTGTGTCCTTTGTTGTTTTTCTGGCTGTACTTGGGCCTTGGCTTTTCAACCTTATCTTGTTTGAAGGGAGACAGAAATACTCTTTCTGGTTTTAGCTGCCACTAGTTTATCTTGAGCAAACTCTGTT